CTCAACTTTAACTCAACTCCACTATCATCACTATTATCAATATAATTAAATAATATCTCAATCAATCATTCATACACATCACCTCAACCTTAATTCACTATTCATCCACTCACATTATCTATCNATATTTTTCTTATTGTTGAAAAACATAGATTTATAATTTAACTATTATGTATCAGTTTTCTTTTATTTTTCTTTTATTTTCCGTAACATATATAATAATAATAATAATAATAATAATAATAATAATAATAATAATAGTAAATTTCTCAACAAATAACGTTAAATTTATATATCATGCTAAAAAAATTCAATAAATCACGAAATCTTCCATATAATATTACATCCTACAATATTCTGGTCAATATTTCCTACAAATAATGACATATATTAGTAATGAGATATTATTACAAACAATTATTTTCAATAACAAAATATACAGTTACACATAAGATGATAATACAAATTTATTTCTCACTTTGATTTTCCATATTTTAATAATAGTCCGCATACTCATAAAATCAACAGCCTATATCATATCTATTTTTTTTTCAGTTACACATTATTTGATAATTCAATATTAATGAATATGATTTATTCTTTCTGCAATACGTTTTCATTCACCCAAAGTTATGCTAATTGATGTCGGCCCATTTTTAAATTAGTTTATTTTTTATTTTAATTATACTCCAATTGTATTTTCTCACTTTGAAAACATTAGGCAGGACAAATGAAAATAAAATCAAATTTATCAAATGAAAAAAAAAAATCAATCCTCAATCTTGATTATTGAGCATTTATATTATATAATTAATGAAATATTTAGAGATGCTTATAAATAGATTAAAAAATAAGAGACAAAACCACATTGCAATTACAATTCTCATAGCCCCAACACATTAAAAAGAAATTCATCCCAAATTTCGTCCCATTTGATATGGCATTCCACTTCGATATTTTATTCTTTTGGCAAAAAGCAAGAACAAGACAACAAATTGAAGTTAGTTCGCAATTGTTTCAAGAATATGATCTATGGATTGGAGTACATCTCTATACATATAATTGCTGCCAATGTTCAAAAAAAAAAAAAATTATTCAGCCAACAATTAATAATAATGAGTTCATTTAATAAAAATCATTGTTCTAAAAATCGGCCCAGGCGCCTCCGATTTGCACAAATCGGCACAAAAAATCGGCCAGGCGGCGCCTAGGCGGGCTTGGCAGGCTCGGCGACCAGGTGGTTATGCGGCGTCTAGACGGGCATAGGCGGACCTAGGCACTCTTAGGCAGGCTCGGCGGCAACTTTTCAGTTTTTTTTTTTATTTTTTTAAATACTAATAACATTACTTTTTTCTTTTTTTTTTATAGTATATATTAATATTATTATTTAGACTTTGGTGTGTAAATTTATTATAAGTTGAGATAATTTTATTTTATAGGTAGTTTAAATAAATAAAAGATAAGGTATTTAATATTGATTTCTAGGCCCCGACTAGGCGCTCTAGGCGAAGGCGATGGTCGAGCGCCTAGCGGGCGCCTAGCGACTTTTAGAACACTGATAAAAATACGTGTTCATTTAATAAAAACATGTTTACCATTTAGTTAAAATATGTAACTTTCAATTACACTATTTATTTGACAATTCCCATTTTGGAATGTGCTCATTTGTGTAACGTCTTCTTATGTCCTGAAATACAAAATATTTTTGTTTTTATTTTGATACTATATATCTTTTGGTATTATATAAATACAAATGTCACAACTAATTAAAAATGACTACAAATATCTTTATTTTCTATTACAGTCATACAATAATAAAAAAATATTTTTCGGATTTTACAAAGTATATCAAATATTTTAAAAAATCAAATCTCAGAGTCACGAGTTGAAGGAATTTAATGATAATAATTTGTGGTGATGGGATTCTGACGACAGAAAAACCACTAATGTTGTATATAAAGAAGTGTTTAATAATATTCAGATTTACTTTTTTAAATTATTTTTTTCTAATTTATTAAATTATGATTTTTGTTTTATTCTATATTTGTAATTATTTTCTCTTCTATTATATCTCTTTTCGTGCAAATGCACGGGATAAAACTAGTTGTAACTAACCATCACTTCAAATCACATCTCTCCTACTTTTACATTAAATCAATTTTAATTATTTTATTTTAATATTATTTTAATATATTCACTAACAACTAGTTATACTACATTTTTTTAAAATCAACCAAAGCAAAGCAAAAAAACCAATAAAACCAAAAAATATTGTATCCAAACATGCTTGAAATCATTTCTGAGCAAGGATTATTACTTTTTTATCAAAAATAGAATTTTATTGTTCATGCACAAGTCCCATAAATACAAGTTCTTGTATTTTATTAGCACATTTCTGCAAAATCATTTTCCTGAGGGATTGAAGTACATATTTACCAACATAATTAATTAACTCACTGGCTCTCCACCTTTTCTAAGTTTTTTGTTTAATCGTAATAATTTAAAGTTGGACATAATGTTGAAACAAGTGCACGAGTATACTCAGACAAGGGTATATTTGGATGATTTTTGCCCTGAATGGGCAGCAAAATGGTCGGATGAGGAGCATGAAGTGGAAAAGCACCAAGACATCAAACACTTTGTAAACAGTAGAAATTCATATATTTGGAAAGCCACATTCGGAGGCAAATTATATGGAGTCAAAGAAAACTGACTGAAAAACTTTTGAAAAAAAAAAAGAAGACAACTGACTTAAAAAATAAAAGAAAGAAAAAAATGAATCAGACAAAGATATTGTAGTATCGAAAGAAATTTTGAATTGTTTAGAGCATCTCCAACTCTATGCTCTTCTCTAATGTTAGAGTAGAGTATGTTAAAATTCAAGTTTTATCTTCAGTTCTTCCTGCTACATTTTACTCTACATTATATATTATATTGGTTCATTTTTATTTCAAATAAATTGTAATATATATGTACATTTAATTGTATATAAATTTTTGTTACCCAAATAACGGAAATATGTTTATGTATAACAACAATAAATTGCTTCATATATGAAGAAAAAAAAATAAGAACCATTTGTAATGCCCGCTTACTTTTCTTTATAAAATACCAAGATTTTCATAAATAATTTAAACTTTTCAATACTTTTCAAATATAAAACATTTCTCTTGGGCACTATTGAAACATTTTCTTTTCAAAACTTTCTAAATCACTTTTCCTTCTTTCTTTTCTTTTTCTTCGAAAACTTAACTCAAGCCTCACACTTAGGTTCTTAAGGAAATCACTTCCCAAAAGTACTCATATTTGAAAACTTAATTTGAGCCTCACACTTAGGTCTTTAGGAAAATCACTTTGCAATTTTTCACATTCCTTTTTCAAACAATTTAAGTCAAAGCAGAACGCTCAAATACTTAGTCTTAACTGAAAACACATAGTCTCAAAACAACTATTCAATCTCGTTCACAAAGCATAAAATAATAAACAAGAGCTGTAAAAGTTTGAGAAAAACATAACACACAATATTATTAGACCACCATCGCACTCTCCATGTCCACAACCAACTGCTCAACCTAAAAATGATAGTTGTGGGGGTGAGCAAAACAACTAGCCCACCTAGAGACTATACTATGCGATTATTCAGAATCATTAACAGATACCATGATATTAGCATGCAACACAAATAAACTGATCATAATGCCTCTTACAGGCGCTACCCATCACGGGTAGGGTTATAAGAGCTTTACCTCTCACAGGCCTACCCATTACGGACAGGGTTATAAAAGCTTTGCCTCTCACAGGATTGGCAGGGTTATACATAATTTGCTCCTCTAGGCGAGAATACTCATGCAACATACAACAACCATAATTAAATACCACAGTAATTATAAGGAATAAGACATAGCATAGAATTCCCCACCTTATACTTGTATGAAGATGATATGTAGATGCTTCAGTGGATGCTTGAGGGCTTGACTCCTCGTAATATACATTTTAGAAGCATAACTCTTATAAATAACTTCATTTAACTTGGTAAAATAAATTACCAACTTGAAGAATTTTTCTTAGTTTAAGGTTCTTGACTTAGTGAAAATTTTCTTAACTTTGGAACTCAAGACTACAGGTATTTTAAAACTCGAAAAAGGGGTCTCGAGACCAAAATTTATGTTCGGCTCGGAAAAATAGGTTTAAGGCTCGACTGGGCGCTGGCGCGGCCGACACTGGTCGCCCGTGGCGCCCCCCTGCTCGGCCTAATGTTGTGGTTGGCTTTGCGCGCCTACTCGCGGACGGGTCGCACTGGATGGGGCTATGGATTACTGGAAGGAGTTGTAATTAATTTCAGATGTGAGTTGTTGTCTAGACCCTTTCTTAACTCGAGTAGAAGAATTTTCCAGGGAGGTAGGACAACCTAGTTATCAGTGCCCATAGTTGCTACTAGAAGGAAAATAGGTTTGGGTTGTTATGTAGGAAAAGGGGAAAGGTATTGCACAGTTGGGCTTCTTCTCAGGAATTTCTGGTGAGGCAACTCTTAGTGTTGTGAGTTGGGGCTTTGAGAAAACCTTGGAAACATTTTGCAGTGCTACATAAATGACAATAGAATTGTGCAAATGCTGCTCAGAAACTCTTCGTTTAGTTCATCTGTTTGTTCTATTGTTGGTGACATTTTGTTGTTAGTTAAAAAATTCCTTATTTTGCTCATTTGTTATTTTCTGTTTATTCTATTGTTGGTGACATTTTAAAATTTCTTATTTTGCTCATTTGTTTTTTTATCTGGGTGTTGTGCGTAGTGTTTGTTGTTAGCTAAGACCGCGGTCGAGGGGAAGTAACACTTTATCTTCCCCGTTTGGTGCTATCTCGGATTTGTTGTTTGGGATAGGTTCCTTTCAAATCATGTAGTTGGTTGGTTGTATTTGTTGCATCGATTAAAATGCAAGTTTGTTTCAATTAAGTCATTTTTCATATAAAGAAAAATCTATATTTGTACCTTGATATAACATAATTTTTGTTTATCATACTTTCTAAAAATATCATATTTTTATTACTATATTTTAAAATATCATATTTCAATTAAAAACATGCATAACCATTAAAAAAAAAATATAAATGCCTAACCGACCTACGCAACCGTAATTCTAATGTACACTAACTATATTTGAACCACGAGAACGGATGTTTTTTGTTAGCAAATCAATCACACAAGCGAAATTCTAGTTTTAATGGTAAAGGGTCCACGGTGTAAAACTATTGTCGATAAATGGACGAGCCAGTTTGATCATCCAATATGCTTAAACCAAATTTTAAATAGAATACAGCCCAAATCTTCAGCAATCCAAACGGTACAAAAAGTTTGAGCTCACAAAGAAAACTTAAAAAAGCCCACAAATTGAAGAAGCTTTTGCTTATCCAGAACCACCCTCATCATATTGATTTTCTCATACCTGAAACCGAAAAATGCAAACACAATCATGAATGTCTAATAACAACTTGAAAAAATTAAAAGATCCAGATAGCTCCTAGAATTTAATTGCACTATAAATAAAACAGTCTGACAAAACTCACCTAACAGTAGTCTGATCCTTCCACGCCAATACACTTGGAGGCACTAATACTGTCACTTCTTAACAAGCATCGTGCACTACAACACGATTTCTTAGTGCCGTTTTTCTTAGTTTTTATGGTAGCGTTAGCCGTCTCAGTTCCTTCAACGGCATCCAATGGCTTCTTGGGGCTAACAAGGCGTGCTCGTGGAATAGCAACCACTGTTGGGCCATTGGCCTCACTATTTTCGTCGAGATCCTCATCTATCAGCCCACATATACGTTCTCTGCAATCAAAATTCGAGTCCATCAAACAATTAATGTGGGGCACAAAGTTTAAACAAAATACAGGTTTGATTCTTTAGGGCGTGTTTGTATACAAGTATTTTCACTCAAAAATGAGTTTTTTTTTTTTTTTGTTAACCAGAATTAATTTTGAAAAAAAAGTAGTATGGTTAGTTGTTGGTAGATTTTGATTTTATATTAAAATAATATTTAAAATAAAATAATTAAAGTTGATTTGATGTAAAAGTAAGAGAAAGATGATTTGAAGTAATAGTTAGTTAAAATTATGTGAGTGGATGAATAGTAAAATAAAGTTGATGTGATGCGTAAAAGAATAATTGGTTGATATTATTAAATTATATTGATAATATTAAAGAGATTTAACCTGGGCAAAGAGGCATATCGTCTTCTCAATGGAGGTTTGTCGGCTTTACCAGGTTGACCCTCGAGTCGGAAAAATTGTTGCTTAAACTGATCCACCCCACTGAAAACATCAGTTGTTCAATATGTTAATACTTTTATCACCAAATATAATTATATTTACCAAGCGAAACAAATCATATCAAGATATAAGAGAATCATAATGTCCAGATAAAGCTCTAGGTACCAAGGCCACCAAATGCAACAAATCCAACATACGATAAAGATACAGAAAGTAAAACGAAGACAAAAATGAGACAAGAGGCATCGGATTTTCTTTTTCCTTTTTTTTTTCAATAAAATCCGATTCGAAGAGGATCATTTTAAATGCCAGACCTTGGATACATAAAGTGAATCTGGTCCACGCCTTGGAGGTACTCCTGGAGCATCTGGGGATGATACTCCAAGATCTGTTTGCTTAATTAAGATACAATGTAAGTAAAAACACAGCTAAAATGCAGCACCATTTAATTTAATGTCAATAAAGAACAAACAAGCGATACTCGTACCTCCCTATAGATCAATTCCCTCACGTCGTCTTTTGATAGCGTTCTTCTTTCAAACTCAAACTCGAATTTCGAGATCGGCTGAGTCGATGGCTCTTCTTCTACATTTGCCAACCCATAAAAGTACGGATCTGATAGAGCCTATGCTCACAAAATAATAAATATAGTTTCAAATAATTGAGAATATAAATGACTTAACATTTTAGGTACTCAAACTATACCCTGAGGTTTCACCTAATAGTCACAAAAAACCCAGTAATATGATTTGTGAAAGATAAACAAATTTCAAGGACAAAAAAAGGGCTTTTTGTGATCTAGGCTGAATCTCAGGGACAATTATTGAAAATTACTCAAAACAAAATATACTAAGTTATACTATAGTATAGGTCATACTTCTTCGGCAGATGGACGATCTTTGGGATCAAACGCAATTAAACGTTCAAGTAAACGAAGAGCCAAGGGATCGATATTTGGGAACCTTTGTGAGAGAGGTATGGCTGGTTTCTTTCTCATGCTACTCAAATATCTCCTTGCCTTTTCATTTCGAATCTGCACGTATGCAAATGAATCCAATTCATCAAATAAATAAGTCTCGCCATTTTACCTAGGGCAAATTACACAAGCTATTCCTGATGTCTAGCCTCGATTTATTTCTTAAAATACAAATATGCTCATTTATATTTACAAGGTAAAAATACAATCCTCTGACAGGGTATTTCATTTCTAATTGTAAAAGATGAGTTGACTTTTTTATAATTTGACTTTCGGGGAGTGGTCCATGTAATTTTACCCATTTTACATAATAAAATAAAATGGAAAAGGATAAACGAACGAACCCTTGAAATGGCTTCAGCAGATGGCGAACCGAGAATATCAGTTATGAGTTCCAATTGATGAACCACATTTTTGCCAGGAAATAACGGTTTACCAATAATCATTTCAGCAAATATGCATCCAATGCTCCAGATGTCGATGGCCGGGGTGTACTGCAAAAGGCATAAACCTTATTGTGATATCCATTGATCAAAATTATCACTTGAACTCTCTAACAAAAGAATGACAAAGTTTAAACTACTGGCACATTAGAACAAGCTTTACACGTCCACTCACAAAAGAAAAGGTAAACAAAGTTAAAGATGATAGAGTTCCTCCAATAAAATAATCTATATAAAAGATTAAGCATGATAATATTCGACATCAATTGCACATAAGAGAAAAAGTGACTTACTTTGGAAAAAAAGGAACCACAAAGTTCAGGAGCACGATACCACCGGGTAGCCACATAATCCTTTAGATAAATAAAAAAGGGCAAAAATATAAGAAGCTTATAAGCTAACTAAAAGGGCATCTTGACTGATAGTAAAAGCTCTTATGCTCAAACAAAAAGGGAAAAAATACAATATAATGTGATAAACATTCAAAACATCAACGATGAATTACATACAGTCCAAAAAACAGCAGATGGCGCGTCACCAAATGATGCACGAGCAAGCCCAAAATCACAAATCTTCAGTTTGCAGTCTGCATTAGCAAGGATGTTTTTGGGCTTCAAGTCCCTGTGGAAAACATTTGCTGCAAAACCAATTAACTGTAAATTAGGGAGCCACACTATCTGAAAAGAAAAGAAAAAAAGATAAAGTTGTTTTAAAACTTTCAAATGTCTACAGTAAGTATAATTTAATAAGTCAGTGTTCCAAAGTGAGGCATATGGTATTTCACGTTCCTGATTCTAACTTACTTTTGACACCAATCAAAGATCTTTCCCAATTTATTACTGACATGCTTACAAATAATACATTCATAGTTTAGATGTTATTCGCAGGACACTACTTAGTTCTGACTTTTGATTCTCTACTGCTACAAGAAAATTGTATCCAAAATAACTCAATTCATCCTCAAAATCTACCTCAATTTTAACTCAACCCCACTATCCTCAATATTATCAATAAAATTAAATAATATTACACAAGCATTTTTCCAAATCACATCAACTTTAATTCACTATTCACGCACATAATTTTAACTAACCATCACTTAGAGTCATCTCTCTTCTACTCATACATCAAGTCAACTTTAATTATTTTGTTTTTAGTTATTATTTTAATATAAACTCAAAATCCCATTAAGACCTAACCATACGACTTTTTTCAAAATTAACCCTAATTAACCAAAAAAAACTCATTTTGAGCATATTAATTTGTAAACAAGCACGCTTACTTTCCCTGAAATCAGATTTTTTATTTAAATAAATTTCAGAAAGCATACCTGAATGTATATATTTCAAAGCACGAAGCAGCTGATACAGAAAGAATTGATGGTGGCCGGGCGTTAGATCATCGTTTGTCTTGATCACGTGGTGAAGGTCAGTCTCCATCAACTCAAACACGACATATATATCCTTAAACTCTCTTCTGCAAGGGGGCAACATGATATGCTTTATCTCGACAATATCCGGATGCCTAAGCAAACGAAGGAGTTTGATCTCTCTCAGAATTCGGGTGGCCTCAGACACATGCTCGAAAATATTATTGATTTTCTTTATTGCTACTTTTTCTCCTGTGTGAGTGTCGACAGCAGCAGCGACGACCCCATAGCTCCCTTTTCCGACGACTTCTTCGATTTCGTACAGATTTGCCTCACCGTATTCGGTGAAGAAATCCTTGAAAGGCATGTTCTAATATTTTTTTTTTAAGAAAAATGTATCATCAAATTCTCGTTTAGAGTACTCGTGAATATAATACTATCTTATTACAATTAAGAAAATACAGCAAGAAAAGAAGGGTGGAAAACACATTTTTTATAGATATTTGACAATAACAAATTGAATTAGACAAATAAAAAATATTATCACGGAAGTAGCAAAACATTACACAGATAAATATAAGCACATAGACCTGCTATTGCAAACTAATTTTTGGAAGACTCACACAAAAAGAAAACACGAGTCTGGCCCCCAAGCAAACATGTGCAGTCACATATGCAAAGAAGAAAACATGAGGCTGGCTTTCAAGCAAACAAGTGCCCATATGTATTAGATAAACTCAAGATTTCTTTTTTATTTTCCAAAACAAAAAAGTTACAGTAGATGCAGATCTGAAGATTACACTCACTGCTTTTTATTACTTGTAAACCTGAGACACAATAAAATAGATCTTGCCACTCAATAGTTATTAGGGGAATTATAAACCTGGAGCCCCTCAGACTAACATGACCAATTAGTTTGGTAATTCGCTTGTTAAAAAGTATATTCAGAAGGAAAAAGGAATGAGCAGCTAGAAAATGAAAACTGCAAACAATGGTGCATTAAGTTAGCAATTCCTAAAACTTTTGGCTTAAACCCATAAATTACAGGACACGGTAGTGTTCTACAGTGAAGCACGAAAATTAATATGAAGATCGGGTAACTAAAACCAAATAGGAGATGAGAAATAGTTTAAAACCATGAGATTTAAGCCAGAACACAAGAAGCAGATCTGAAAGCTCATAAAATGAAATGAATAAACATCACCAAAGAGATTTAAAATCTCACCTGAATCATTTTGGAAAACTGCTCCGAAGACCACTAAGAAGAGTCGCCGAGAAACACCTCCAACAAAAGCTTGATCGCAATTTGAAACCAATTCTTATAAACCCATTAAAAGTAGTACCTATATTATATTGATCCCTTCACGCGCAATGAGTTGACAATTAAGTAAAGAGACTTTTAAAGAGCATATAAAATTGCAAAGTTGATCACTTGGATGGCAAGTAAAATCTTTCTGGATATTAAATACTAAATATGAACAACATCCAGATCGAAATCTGAAGACTTCATAATCCACACATCATGCTTAAACGATTTCAAGATTTGATTTTTTCCTAGCTTTCTGCTAGCTTCTGATGTACTACGAGAGAAACAAAAGATTCCCAATTCCATATAATAAACTTACTATTATTTCAATCTCAATCGTTTTCAACCTATTTCTTTCCTGTAAACTAAATATATGGTATAACGTGAAGGAAAGGGATAGAGGTGAAGAAGATGTTTGTATGCTTGTGACAAACGGTGGATTGATATTCACTTAATTTTAGGAAGACGAGAAAAACCCCTCATTAAATATTGAAACGAAAAATTAAGATAAAGGCAGAAGCTTTAACAATGGAGCGTGGTGATTGGCGAAAGGAAATGGTCAATAAATATGACCCATAAATAATGGATACAGATACCACCTTCCCCGCGTAGATTTGTTAAACAAAGCGACAAAAAAGATAAAAAATAAAATAAAATTGCAAAAGAAAAAGAAATTAAAACTCAACTGAACGGCGGTGAGTAAAAGACAGTGCTTTGAATTGCAAGCCTTATCTTAACACCGCAACATGACATTTGCGCCAACTGCCCCGATACACACGCACCCGTGTGTTTGTGTGTGTGTTTTTGGAAGAGGATGGGGCTGACAAGTTTCCGCTGGAATAGTCTCGCTAGAAAATGTAAATAGTATCGCCCTACAATTTTTTTTTTTTATAAATTTTATTTTTTTAATTATTCTTTACATCTAAATATTATTTTGACAAAATATACATTAATAAAATTATTTACATTGTCAAATAGTTTTAAATTGATTTTATATATAGTTGTATTAAATTTTATTTTGCAGGGACAAATTTTATGTAGTTGTAGAGTAATTGTATAATGAGCATCTCAAAATGAAAGTTAATAATTTTATTATTTTCTACTCAAAAGTAGTATAGTAAAGATTTGTTAGATATGGTCTTACAATAGAAAATAGTACTTATTAATTATAAAATTATTGTGATGTAACGTTGCCAAATGGAAGTATAGACTTTGTAAATTATAATATTATTTGCCTAACAAACATTGCAAGTTGAGGGATTTCTTTAGAGATGCTTACATATAAAAAAAAAAATTTGGATTTTTGGTATGATTTGGTCAGTGGTATAATAAAATAATTAAAGTTGATTTGATGTAAAAGTATGAGAGAGATGATTTGAAGTGATGATTAGTTAAAATTATGTGAGTGAATGAATAGTGAATTAAAGTTGATGTGATGTATAAGAATGATTGGTTGATATTATTTAATTATATTAATAATATTAATAATAGTTGGGTTGAATTAAAGTTGAGTTAAAAATGGTGGTTGAGTTAAAATTGTTTGGATTTTTTGGATAAGTTTTGTATCCAAGCATCCTCTTAGAGCATGCTTGGATATAAAAATTTTTAGTTTTGATTGGATTTTTTGGTTTGTGTTGGTTAAATTTGAAAAAAGTTGGTATGATTAGTTGTTAGTGGGTAAATTAAAATAATATTTAAAATAAAATTACTAAAATTAATTTGATGTAAAAGTAAGAGAAAGAAGATGTATGTGATGGTTAGTTAAAATTATGTGAGTTGATGAATAGTGAATTAATGTTAATGTTGTGTGTAAGAATGATTGATTGATATTATTTAATTATATTAATAAAATTAATGATAGTAGAGTTGAGTTAAACAAAGTGATTGAATTAAAAATAATTGGAATTTTTAGATTGATTTTATATCCAAGAAATTCAAATTCAAAGAAACCTCATTACAATATAATAAAGATGAATAAATCTCTCACGCAACCTATGAGATTAAAGAGGAAAAAAAATAAAAAAATAAAAATCTCCTAACTCACACCAGTTGATGGGAATCAACGAAGACTATATTGTCCATGAAATATGTTCTTTTATTCCCCATATAAATACATAGATATTAGGGAGGCTTCTTTTAAAATCCCTACTCCTTTTTTTAACTTTCTCCCTACTCTTTTTCTTCTTTCAAATCACTACTATCCTTTTACTATCTTTTCATTTAAATACCTTTTATTAAATTAATTTAAAAAGAAAATCAAATATTACATCATCCCACTAACAATTCAACTTTTTTCATTTCTTATTATATTTTTTTCTCTCCACTACGAATTTTTTATTAATTTTTCTCTCCCCTTCTACACATTTTTTAATTATTTTTCTCTCTCTTTCTACACAATTTTAATGATTTTTTAATATTATAAAATAAAAATATGAAATATATATGTAATATGCCTCTTATATTAATTTATTCAAAATATTATATAAAATTTAAATTGTACAAAATTACATAAGATATGTCTATTTAAAATTAGTACACAACTCCTACGGTGAACATAACTGATAATAAATTACATTATATTTATTTCAAAAAAAAAGTGTCATTTTAAAATTTTTATTCAGAAATTCAATTTGAGTACAATGTGGTTCCACAAAAAAAAATGGTAAAATTTATTAAAAAACCTGTGTGAATAATATGTATAATATTAAAACTTATGTTTTTCAATAATTAAAATAAATTTGTTTATCCTAATCAAAATAATTTAATATTGAGAAACTATAAATAATGGACTATTTTATTTACGTCCAAGTTAATATTGACCAGTAAATTATGAATAATTACTTGTTTATCTTTTAAATTTAAAAACTAAGATTGGACTACACAATAAAATTCCTTATATATTTTATATAAATCGATATTTTACTAATCTCACAATTTTTTAGGTGTTGTCGGTTACCTTGCAGTTCAAATTTATGAACTAATTCTCTAGAATTAAATTATAGATTCTATTAAGAAATATTTATTCAAAGTTTTAAATTTTTAGAGGAATACATACCAATTTATTAAATTATCATCAATATCTTATGGAAAGTTATTATATAAATATGCTAAAATTTGATAATCATATCACCTTAATTTTATAACAAATTAACCTAAAATTCGACTTTCATACCCATACCAAATAAAATTCATACCACTTATTTATGTTCAAGATTTTCGAATACTTCTATCCATACCAAATGAAATTCATACCATTTAAATTCGAACGTTTCATACCAAAATAAAATGTCCCTCATTTTATTACATGCAATTATTTTGAAATTTCTAACAAACAAATTTAATACTCTAATAGCTTACGCTACACGAATTTCTATTTAAGCTACGTAGTATAAAACCCAAAACGCGACGAATTACATTATAAATATTTTAAAACACGAAAAGAATACAATTTTAATATGAATGACCGTTAAAACGAGATTACATTATTAATGGAGAAATCTCGTATGTCTTTTAAAAGAAAAAAATCAATACTATGATAGGATATTAACCAATTTAATGCGTGATATATCATGTTTACCTATATGAATTTTGTACTATCAAAATTCATAATTTTATATTTATCGTTAAATTCAAAATATTATATTGAAAAAAATAAACATTAATTCTATAATTTATAACTTTTTTTTTAAATTGATGTGTTTAAAATAATGAGTTAAAATTAATTAACGGAAATAATTGTATACATCCTCAATTTCTTCTATTAATATTTATTTGAAATCTATTTGTTAATTATTTAATAAAATAAATATAACACATAAAGTAAGGTTGACCTCTCGCGATTCCCGGCGATAAAACCCATCTTCCGGCTTCTCGTTTTTATCTCCCGATTTGCCCTCTTCCGGCGGCGGCGAGGCTGATCCTGCGGCCGCCGCTGACCGCCCCTCCCTTATGCTGCTGTCTCTTCTTCCCTTTTTGTTGCCATGGCGTTTTTTTTCCTTACCTCCCTTTTCGTCGGTGGTCGGTGGTAGAGGGTCCGGCGGTGGCTCTGGTCTAATTCCGACTTTGAGGAAGCTGCACGTGGTGGTTGGGATGCCCAATTGCTGCTCTCTTGCGGTTATTGTGGTGGCTCGGCTCAGGGTGAGTTTTTGGGGGCTAGGGTTCGCAGGGGGTCCGAGATTTTCCGAGGCGGTTTCGTCTTTTTGGGTTCATCTCGGGCCTTTGTGTTCCTGGGGCTGGTGGTTCATGGTGCTGCTTTGGGTTTGGGTTGGTGGTTGGTGGTTCCGACTAGGTGGTTGGCGATGGGGGTGGGAGGGAGACTGTGCTGTGGTGGCGAGGGGAGGTGATGGTGGCTGCTGCGTGTTGTGCGAGGTGGTTGTCGGGGTTGGGGTTCCGGCAGGAAGCGGCTATCCTAATGCAGCTGTTGTTGGGTTGCTTGGGATCCGGTATTACTGAGTCGGCCTAGTGGTGTTAGCCTAGCTCGGGTTGCTCCGGTTGGGGTTGCTTGGCCGGTCCCCTCGGTCTGCGGGTTCCGTCCTTTGGGTGGGGTTCGAGGGCGGAGTCCCGCCTTGTGTTAGGCTTTCGGCAGTTTCCGGGGTCGGGGCTTGGTTAGGGGCCTTTCCTAGAGTCGGTTGTAGCTGCTTATTCGGTTTTGTCAATTCTCCGGGGGAGGGTCGTTTAGTCGTTTAGTCGTTGTTGTTTAGTTTGTTTTGTTGTTAGTCCTTTTGGTCAGCTTTGTGTGTTTGTTGTTTTTGTTTCGGAGATGTCTGACAGGTTAGGCATTGTGCAGTGACTCTGTTGTTCATCTTCCTTTATTTTCGATTTTTGAGTTATCTAGGCCGCCTTGTGCGTGTCCTCTCAGTTTGTCGTTCTTGTTTGTTGTTTTAGGTGTGTTTTTGGTTTGGGCCGTTGGCCTCTGTCCCATTACCCTGTTGGGGCCGTAGATTACCCCGTTGGGGCCTTGTAATTTGTTTCTCTTCGTGTTATAATATCTCTATCGTTCCGAAAAAAAAATAAAAATAAAATAAATATAATATTATAATTAATAATTAAAGTTAGGTAGGTTATAAATATTAACTAGTATTTAATCATGTGCACATGCACAAATGTTTAAATTATATTTAGTTATATAATATTAAAATTATAATTATGTTAAATAATATTATCACATTTTAAAAATTTTGACATTAGTAACAATAAAGATCCTAAAAGTATTAAACTTTATCACGGTTGATTGCATAAAATGAAATGAATAATTTAATATTTAAAGATTCGAGGATCCTAACCTATTAATTGTCTTAAAAAACTATTGAAATTGTTGTTATTGTTGTTGTTGTTGTTGTTGTTATTATTACTAGTACGTAACCCGTGCGATGCACGGACTGTATACTTTTTTCGAAAACATAATGTAGTACCGGTGCGCAGTACGGTGGGGTTATTTCCTCAAACATTTTTGTCTAAACTTTATTTAATATTTTTTTATTATAAATTATTAATTTGATTGTAATAGAAAAAAAAGAGAGAGAAATACAAATTAAAAAAAAAAATCATATATTATTAAACACTTCTCTATACACAACATTATTGGTTTGATTTGCTTTCAAACCTTCTTCGCCACAAATTAAAATTTTAAGACCCTTTCTGTTAGTAACACGGGAGACAGCGACATATAACTGGCCATGACTAAAAACTAGTTTCTTCAAAAATAAGCCAACATGAGATAAGGATTGACCTTGACTCTTGTTTATAGTCATTGCATACGAAACCATAATGGGGAACTGCCTTCTTTGGAATTTGAATGGTACTCTAAC